CGCCTGCCACTGGCCACCAACTCCGCACTTCAACGTCCACAAAGTCCGACGACGATACTGCTGCTATTATAGTACTGTTGCTACTTTTACTGCTAGTGCTATTTGGAATATTTTTTTGATACGTTAAATTTTTTTAATTGATGCGTGTAGAATATTTTTTTTGATACGTTAATTTTTTTGATCTCTCACCCAACGAGTCGTCCGTAGTGGGCACCAAACATGTGCAAAGAACGCCTTCCACGTGGAAGAATCCTTCTTGTTGTTGTTGTTGTTGCTGCTGCTGTTGTGGTTGTTGTGGTTGTGGTTGTGGTTGTGGTTGTTGTGGTTGTTGTTGTTGTTGTTGTTGTTGTTTCTTCTCTGCACTGCCCCTCCAAAATTTCGGAACCAGTCGCCGGAGGCGAATTTTCCCCCAAAAGACGGACATGGCGCCGGCGGATGGTGACCCGAGGGCGGGGGCTGTTGCAGGGGTTGTGACATCACACCGAATGAACAACAAGGGTAAAGGACAGAAGAAAGGATTTAGAAAGCAGGATCGAGGGTGAGAAGGAACTGAGGAACCAAGTGGATTTTACGCATCGGACTGGGACCACATGCGTGGAGCCACTCTGTGAGGCCGTGGGTGGCTGGGACACCTCGAAGGTGACCACGATGCAGGCCATGTTTAATACAGCTCGGAGCTTCAACCAGTCGCTGGATGAGTGGAACACCTCGGCAGTGACTGATATGAGCTACATGTTCTTCGATGCCTTTGTGTTTGACCAGGCGCATAGGGCCTTAGGGCAAAGCTTGCTTAGCTTGGGTGAGGATTTGATAGATCTTGTTATATATGTTATATTACACTGATACTGATATAACCAAGATATGATATAACAAATATTCAAATAACTAAAAATACTGATACTGATATACTGATACGGCTTTGATAGATCATACTGTCCTTTTGGCATCATTGTCGTGATCGCATGAAGCCGGTGTGTCCGTTCCCCGCCCCGCTTGGCGCGGCTGCGGGGACGCGTCCAGCCCGGAACGTTGGGCCCGGTTAGAAGCTTCGCCTAGGCGAAGCACGAACGTGTCGTATCGTGTTGCAAGATGGGTTGGTGTTTGCCAACGATATGTTGAAGAGAAAGATTCGGCAAGAGGTCAGGTGTGGTCAACCTGCCTTGGCTTCGCGAGGCTGTGGGCTCCTGGGACACCTCCAAGGTGACCGCTATGCAGTCCATGTTCAGCGGAGCGAGGAGCTTCAACCAACCATTGAGACACTGGAAGACCTCTAATGTGAGGGACATGTCACAGATGTTCTGGGACGCCAGAAGCTTCAACCAGGCAGGGTGGTCTCAGCTGCGAATGGGAGGGCTTCGGGCTTTCAGAGACCATGTCATGATAGTTGAGATCACATGCATCACATGCCTGTCTCCAATCTGTGAGGCCGTAGGCTCCTGGGACACCTCGAAGGTGACCACAACGAAGAGCATGTTTCATGCGGCGAGGAGCTTCAACCAGTCCCTGAATGATTGGCACACTTCCTCAGTTTCGGACATGAGCTACATGTTCGTTATGGCGGTTGTCTTCAACCAGGCCGGCTAGTGAGTGACGCCGGTCGATCTACAATCTGGTTCTCGAACAACGACCGGTTTCAAGCTGGCTCGGTCTACTGACTGCTGATTACTGTATGACATATTACGACCTGCGTGTTTTAGGAACATCCTACAGGCTTTTGTCCGATTATTATGCATGGATATGTATATATATATGTATATAGTTTTTTCCCCAAACAGTTTACTGTTGTTCCCCAAACAATTTACTGTTGGGGTTCTATCTTAGAAACAAAAGAGCTGGCCACACTCACTGGCCGCGCCCCTGAACTCTGTGGCTGGGCTCTGTGTCCAGGCCTTGTCCTCCTCTTGTCCTCTGTAACTGGGCTCTGTGGCTGGGTATTGTTTTCTTCTTGTTTTTTTCTTGTCCTCCTCTTGTCCTTGTCTTTTTTGTGCCCCTGAACTCTGTGGCTGGGCTCTGTGGCCCGGCTCTGTGTCCGGGTCTTGTCCTCTTCTTGTCCTTGTCTTGGCCGCGCCCCTGAACTCTGTGGCTGGTCTGTGTGGCCCGGCTTACTGGAGAGGAGTGTGGTCGAACAAAAAGCGATGTCAATGCCGACAAAAATTCATTGATGAAGCAGTTTGCTCTTGGGGTGAAGGTAGGGCGTACCAAGAAATCAATTTTTGACTAAAATTGGCATTGGTCCAAGCGAATCGTTTTGAAGCTGTTTGGGGTCTATGCTTGTATATTTCCCCAAACAGGTTACTGTTGGGTTTCTATCTTAGAAACAAAAGAGCTGGCCACACTCACTGGCCGTGCCCGTGAACTGTGTGGCTGGGCTCTGCGCCCAGGCCTTGTCCTTGTCTTGTCCTCTGTGGCTGGGCTCTGTGTCCAGGCCTTGTCCTCCTGTTGTCCTCTGTGGCCCTCTGTGGCTGGGCTCTGTGTCCAGGCCTTGTCCGCCTCTTGTTCTGTGTTCCTCTTGCCCTTGTCTTGGCCGCGCCCCTGAAGGCTCTGTGTCCGGGTCTTGTCCTCCTCTTGTCCTTGTCTTGGCCGCGCCCCTGTGGCTGGTCTGTGTGGCCCGGCTTACTGGAGAGGAGTGTGGCCGAACAAATAGGGATGTCAATGCTGACAAAAATTCATTGATGAAGCAGTTTGCTCTTGGGGTGAAGGAGGGCGTACCAAGAAATCAATTTTTGACTAATATGGGTCAAAACGAATCGTTTTGAAGCTGTTTGGGGTCTATGCTTGTACAATGTTCTATCTTTGAAAAAGAGAGCTGGCCACACTCACTGGCCGCGCCCCTGTGGCTGGGCTCTGTGTCCAGGCCTTGTCCTCCTCTTGTCCTCTGTGGCTGGGCTCTGTGTCCAGGTCTTGTCCTCTGTAACTGGGCTCTGTGGCTGGGTATTGTTTTCTTCTTGTCCTCCTCTTGTCCTTGTCTTGCTTGCGCCCCTGAACTCTGTGGCTGGGCTGTGTGGCCTGGCTCTGTGTCTTGTCCTCCTCTTGTCCTTGTCTCGCCCCTGAACTCTGTGGCTGGTCTGTGGCCCGGCTTACTGGAGAGGAGTGTGGCCGAACAAATAGCGATGTCAACGCCGACAAAATTTCATTGATGAAGCAGTTTGCTCTTGGGGTGAAGGTAGGGCGTACCGAGAAATCGATTTTTGACTAACATTGGAATTGTTTTGAAGCTGTTTGGGGTCTATGCTTGTATAATCTTTTCTTGTCCTCCTCTTGTCCTTGTCTTGTTTGCGCCCCTGAACTCTGTGGCTGGGCTCTGTGGCCTGGCTCTGTGTCCGGGTCTTGTCCTTGTCTTGGCCGCGCCCCTGAACTCTGTGGCTGGTCTCTGTGGCCCGGTTTACTGGAGAGGAGTGTGGTCGAACAAATAGCGATGTCAATGCCGACAAAAACTCACTGATGAAGCAGTTTGCTCTTGGGGTGAAGGTAGGGCGTGCCAAGAAATCGATTTTTGATTAATATTGGTCTAAACGGATCGTTTTGAAGCTGTTTGGGGTCTATGCTTGCATAATTCTACAAAGATCATGAGAGAACTAATATGAACTAATGACTTTACACCACCGTAGACCCCAAACAGACATCAACAAGAAGGGGGACAAGAAGGGAGACAAAAGAAAACAGAAGGGAGACAAGACGGACACAATGGCCAACAAGAAGGGAGACAAGAAGGGAGAGAAAAGGAAACATAAGGGAGGCAAGAACCACACAATGGCGACAAGGCGGACACAGTGACCAACAAGAAGGGAGACAAGAAGGGAGACAAAGGTAACAGAAGGGGGACAAGGCGGACACGGTGACCGCCACCGGATTAGGGTGGACACTAGCAGGGCACGCCGAACTTGGGAGACAAAAGTAAAGAAACCGATACAAATGAAGTGAAACGCTGCATGGCCAGCGGAAAAGGGCGGACACCAGCAGTGACAGAAAGGGCGGCCACGTTTTAAGAAAGAATTGAGAACCCCTAAAAGTACACTGATTGGGGAATGAATAGAAATGTTGCGTCGCCAGCGGAAAAGGGCGGACACAAGCAGTGACAGACCTGGGAGACAAATGAATAGAAATGCTACATGGCC